AGTGAGGTATCTAAAGTACTGAACTTTCTGTGTGATCATTTCTCTTAAAAGCACTCCATGTAGAAAAGAAACAGTGAGACACTGCATCAATTCTGTTGTCTTTCTCATCCACCCCCATGCCTGAATCCCTGTCTTTATTGATGTTTGCACCCTTATTTGCAGTTGACGTTTTAGTTGTTGCCATGTGGGAGGCATTCCCTGACAGCAGGATCTATAAATTGCACTCTCAAAGGAAGGACTGTTTTTGTTGATAAACACTGATCAGATTATAACTTTTCAGATACTGTATATACGCATGTGATAAATAAACATGAAAATGTTTGCCCTGAAAGATCTCTAAAGCAGTTGGAACTGCAAACATTTTACATGGATCTTAATATTCCCCAACTTAGATAATTAGATGGGATACATCTATTTTTGTGATTTAAAAAAATGGACAAACGCACACATACTAAAAAGGTGGGCAGGGAAGGAAGAGAGAGAGAGACCAGACTGGGTGGGACTAATGGGTTTTTAACAGTGGTACGAACTGAATGTATATTAAGGTGGAAAGAAAGAGAGGGACGAGCATGAAATAATTCAGGCTCAGGATGGGACTACTGAGCATGCCTTCATGCACACACACTTTTTCTTGTTCCATCCAGAAACTGAATGGGCAGGGTGGTCTCTCCTCTTTGTTGTGAGATCTTTCTTTCATCTTTCCTTCAGCAACCCTTGGAGGATTAAGCCTTGTACATTTTTTAAAAAAATCTATTCACTAATTGCTTGTATGCTAGGGCTTGTCACATTACAGAATTAAAAAGAAAAAGATATACTCAGTCTTTACTTTTATCTAACCTAAAAGCTTCTGTTCAAACCCACTTTTGCTTGTTTACAGCTCTTTCAAATTTCTTGGGATTACTTGCATCTGAAGAATATCTCTCTACACCCACCCACCCCACCCACCCCCGCCCCAGTCTTGGAGCTCGCTTCCTAAGTATCCTGCATGGTGGAATAACTAAGGGAACTCCATTAATTATCATTTAAAGGACTGTTGATAGACCATGTGCTTCCAGTTCAGCTTCGCCACCCACCCCAGCCCCAACTGTGCTTGTGGCCAAACCAGCTTCTTGGTTAGAAATCTTAAGGTTGAACTAGATTTGGAAATAGCCCAACAAAGGTGGAAGAAGCTGTGTAGCCCTGGTGCGTGGTAGAAAAGCAAGACTACACCTCAGATAAAGATCATGAACAAAGGCTACCTTTCAACCCATATGGGTCTTCATCGAGAGGAGTACTACTTAACTTTGGATGGTGCAATAAAAATTCAAGTGTTCCAGAAATTGTAGATGGCTGTGCCAGTTTCAAAATGAGGGCTACAAAGTGGCAGTCTTCTTTCTGGCGATTTTGGGACAGTTCAATCAAGATGGCCAGAGGTGTAATTAAAAAACAGCACTCCTGGCTTGACTTGGAAGCCCTGATTTTGAAATTGGCATAGGCATTTAACCGTGATTTTTGGAATTCTTGTATTTCCCCCTCCCCCCGTCCCTCGCACCATCCAGTGAGAGGTGGTGCCCTGCCTGATAAAGGCCCAGTGAGGTGAAATTTCAAATTTGTTTGTGGCTTTGAGTGGTGGTAAGACAGATAGCACCTACTCTTGCCTTTGTAGATTCAGTAGCTTGGTTCAAACCTGATAGAGCAGTGGTCTCCAACCTTGGGCCTCCAGATGTTCTTGGACTACAACTCCCAGATGTTGTAGTCCAAGAACCACCTCTGATGACCAGAGTTTCTGGGAGTTGATCCAAGAACATCTGGAGGCCCAAGGTTGGGGAACACTGTGATAGAGGACCCAAAAAGATACTATGTAGTCCTTGCAACCCTCACCAAACTTCTTTTCACTGCCTTTTAACCAAACAAGAGGCCAATGAAGACACAGCAGTTTTTTTAAAAAATGTATAGATGTGTATGCATAGGAGAAAATTTAGAAATACTTCTTGCCATAATGGGGAAGAGCAGGACTTTGTCATCCACAGTCCTAACTTTTGGTGAGCAATTTCAAGTGCCCTGCCTTTCTTACTTCATTTGGTTCTTCATGTTTAAACTGGGCTTGGGAGAAGCAGCTGCCAGACATTAAATGGTTGTTTGCTCACTTTCCTCTGAATAGAATAATGTTCTCTTAAAGACAGGACACTTGGCCACTACCCCTGCCCCCTTACTCCATCCTCCAAACTAGTTTGTCTGCATAATAAGTGTGGGATGTCGTTGTGTGACTTTTGGTACCTGTACTGCCTAGAGACTCTTGTGATATAACTATTTGTTTACATTGTGAGTCCCCTCTGTAATATATCACCTTTAGATATTCATAAACAGCCCAACTAGAATTGATTGGCTGTCTCTCTAGGTAAAGGTAAAGGTTCCCCTTGACAATTTTTGTCCAGTCGTGTTCGACCCTAGGGGGCGGTGCTCATCCCCGTTTCCAAGCCATAGAGCCAGTGTTTGTCCGAAGACAATCTTCCGTGGTCACATGGCCAGTGCGACTTAGACACGGAATGCTGTTACCTTCCCGCCGAGGTGGTCCCTATTTATCTACTCACATTTGCATGCTTTCGAACCACTAGGTTGGCGGGAATCTTTCTAGGTACTGAAGTGCAAATATCAGTAAAGTCAAGATCAGCTTCTCGTATCACATTGAGCTCTGGTGCAGGCAGATGTTCTGCCTTCCTGCTCTGGAGTTCCCCTTTGCCCTGAAGTCTCTCATGTCAGAAGCAACCCAAGCCCTCCTTGGTGTCCAGAAGTTCTATGCACAATAGGATCTCCTACGTTCTTCCAGTGAGCTTCTCTGTGTGCCAAGAACTTTGAAGGACAGGATCAGCAGCAACCACAAATAATGGTGTTTGTTTAATAAGCCACTCCATACTTTGTGGGCCTCTTCATGGGACAGTCACACATTGCCTCCATTTTCCCAGCATCTAGCAATGAAATTATTATCTCTCATGCCAGTGTGTAGTCCAGCCATCCACATGATAGGCAATAAAGCCAGGTTACCCACCAATGTACACTGTATACCACTGGTTCTTAACCTTTGTTACTCAGATGTTTTTGGACTGCCCCAGAAGTCTTCACCATCAGCTCTGCTGGCTGAAGTTTCTGGGAGTTGAAGTTCAAAAACACCTGAGTAACAAAGGTTAAGAACCACTGCTGTATACTGAATAGCCAAGCAAAGCTTTTTGTTATACTGTCCCCTGAGATATGTATATATAGCGTTATAGTATATGGCCTGCAAAATAACTTTGCTTGATTGGAAGATTTCCTTCAGCCCTCTAACTTCACATGCATTGTTAGTGAAAGATCCTTCCTTATAATAATTATAATTATAATAATTAAAAAATATAATTATAATTTAGTAAATCCTGTTGTACGACTACTGGTTGCAAGTGTTGTTTGACCTTTGTCTTCATTTATTTCTGTTTCAGTTCATTTTCTTTGAACATCTTTTTTTACTGTAGTCATTTTCCTTCCCTTTTCCCCGAAATTCATTTTTGTTCTAATTTGTCATCCAGCTGCTACTTTACTCGTAGTTATTTACTTATTTATTTATTTGGCTACAAAAATCTGATGGTTTAACAACCTTTATTATTCTCTTATCATCCTTTTCTGTACATCCCTTATACCTATTTGCTTCCAGGAACCTCTTCTGACTTCAATAATGGTGGGTAAATCCTGGCTTTTTAATTGGCAGCTTTCCAGTGCTTTAATCCCTCTCTTGCTTTTCATTCTCTGCTTCCTCTATACTAGGCTCATCTTGCTGCTGTGATCTTTTTCCCTTGCTTTAATTATGGAGTGAAGCAGATGAACATTTAAGTTTCATATTATTAATAGTGCCTTGTTTAAAGTTTTCAGTTGCAAAGCAAATGTTGAATCATCTGAATCTGGCCTGCTTTGAAATTATACCTGGGTGTGTTTTTACCATTCCTATTCCCAACAGATTACACCATGGCACTGATTAGCCGCAGCTTTTTGTAATACCTCTTAAAGCTTTATCACAGTGGAATACTGCCAGTAATAGTCTTTAATTCACTTATATGTACCAATTCATCTTTGTCAGGCTTCTATTCATTTTTCCCCTCTCTTACTCTGTCCCTAGCCTCTATATAAAGAGGTATGACGTCCCCCACTTAAGTAGGGTGGGGAACACAGAAAACACCAGGAAATTGCTTCTGGTTGTTGGCTTTTTCAGGGAACCAAGTTAATTCTGCAGTTCATGTTTCCATATGATGATTGCATTTCTCACAGAGGAATCTGTTGGTGTATTTTGGAAAACCTTGGTTTGGGGAAGGATTTAGAGAAGGTGGGATGGGTTAAAAAATTCAGTTCAAATTCAGAACATATGGTAATTTTAATAGGCATCTATGATGAAATATGGACCTGCTGCAGAGATTCATTTTTTATAATCTTCAGTAATGCATGTTTGTGCAAGTATGGCTATGTATGGCAACATGAGCCAAAGTTTTGCAAATAATTGGATGGGGACTAGGTGTTTTTCTACTGTGAAATGTGGTGAATTTGTGAATGACAAGCTTGCTTGATATGTTCTGTTTAGCACTGGAGCATGATTAGAAAGCATCAAGTGTCTCCTCAGATTTTAGCTGGCATTTGTGTTACCTGTGTCAGTTGTTTGTTATTTACCGTTTCTCCGAAAATAAGACCTAACCTGAAAATAAGCCATAGAATGATTTTTCAGGATGCTCGTAATATAAGCCCTACCCCAAAAAAGAAGCCCCAATTAAGTGAAACCCCACCCTCCACCATTGTTAGCAACCAGAAGATGACATGACTATAAAATAAAACATCCCCTGAAAATATGCCCTAATGTGTTTTTTGAAGCAAAAATTAATATAAGACCCTGTCTTATTTTCGGGGAAACACAGTAATACAACTAGTTATTACTCTTCTTTAAAGTTGGTTCAATTCACTGTGCAGAATGTTGAGAGAGGTGTCTTATACAACTCCTGTTTTGCCTCTAGGATTGGCGCAAAGCATCAGGAGTTACGGCAGAAGCAGATCCGGGGGTTTGTTGAGTATTCCACGGGCCCTCTGGGTCCCCCACCTGATATTGATGATGACGAGATGGACCCAAATTATGCACGTGTTAATCACTTCCGAGAAATGTATCCAGTTGCCAGCTCTTACAGGCCATCTTCTCCGCCTGTTCCAGACACGTTTGGGTGTGACAGCCCTCCAGCTCCTGTGGACAGGGACCACTTAGAAGGATTGTATGCAAGGATAAACAAGCCCTCCCATCAGCATGCTCCAGCTGAGAGGTAAAGCTTGTATCATGGAATCTGCTTAATGCATGTAGAAATTTGCTGTTGTTTCCGAAATTTGTTGTTGTTTCATTAAGTCGTGTCCGATTCTTCATGACCCCATGGACCAGAGCATGCCAGGCCCTCCTGTCTTCCACTGCCTCCCGGAATGGGGTCAAATTCGTCCTGGTTGCTTCGATGACACTGTCCAACCATCTTGTCCTCTGTCGTCCCCTTCTCCTCTTGCCTTCACACTTTCCCAACATCAGGGTCTTTTCCAGGGAGGCTTCTCTTCTCATGAGATGGCCAAAGTATTGGAGCCTCAGCTTCTGGATCTGTCCTTCCAGTGAGCACTCAGGGTTGATTTCCTTCATGTAGAAATACTTCTAAGCAACACAATGTGTCATAGCAAGTGCAGATACCCAGTGTGGTGTAGTGGATAGAGTCATGGACTAGGATTCTGGAGGGCAGGGTTTGAATTCTTGCTCAGCCATGGAAACCCACTGGGGGAGTGGAATTGGTAAAAGCACTCCTGGAATTTCTCACTTACTTTGAAAGCTCTGTTTGGGTCCCTATAATTTGGTTATGACTTGACAGCATGTAACAACAACATAACAAATGTATTATTATATGTTTAAGAGCTCCCCCCTTAATCAAGTGACCTGCTGCTAGCATTTCATAGCAACATCATATCAATGCTTTGGACAGGGCCTACCAGTGCATGCACCACTGTCATCATAAACAGATGTTATGACATTGTTATGAGGATTATGGCCTGACTGACAAATAAACCAACAGATGTGTTCAGAGTTGTGAACCTGAACCTAGAGGTCAGGTTCTTTCAGTCCTAAATCATTTTCCCCCAACATGAAAAACGCTCTTAATTACCCATTTTGCTTCCCCTCTCTATAATTTTCCTCATAAGGGATGAGTGATTCTGAATGATCAAGACTTTATATAGTTGCTTAAAATGAAGTAATACCTTTACTCTGCATTTGTAGCTGAAAACAGAAACCATATCTTGCAGGTAGAGGCACACCTCCACATTTCAGACATTGGTATTTTGAGGTAAAAAGTGGTGCAGACTGGGGTCTCTTTGACCTGTTTAAAAGAGGAATCACCACTTCTGGTGGCTTCTAAGAGTCACAATTCACATTTTAGCTTGCTAAGAAAAAGTGGGAGATAAAGGGAGGCAGCGGGCACAGAAACAACTTTGGGGGTGGGGTGGGGCTCCTTGAGGCCTTATGACTTCGCTTTGCCCAGTCTTGTTCTGTCAGCACAGCACAGACCTTGTTGTACAGCCTGGAAATCTTGTATGTTGGGTGCCATGATCACCCATTTGCTCCCAAAGCTTGTTGCTCATGCTGTGATTTACTAGGTATGCATACATTTTACATTTCCCCTGCTGTGTGATGTGATGCACTTTCAGTTAAGTCGGAGAAAGACGGAGAATTGTGGCACTTTTATGCACACCGTAAAGTGTGTCTTCACAAGACAGATTACCTTGCAGGGTCTTTCCAATAACCAAGCAGGGAGGAAGGAGCCATTTTTAATCCTTGCTGTCAAATGTCCAACTTGATAAATGTTAAGGAAATATAGTACAGAAAAAAAATTCCTGTGTGGGCTAGAAAGGAAAAAACACATTCTCGGGCACAGTTGTAGAGCCACCTCTTACGAGTCTGAAAGCTAACCTTTGGGAATACAAGGAAATTGCATTCCTTGGCAAGCTTCCTTCCTTTGACCAAAATCATCACACTTCTGGAAGACAGTGTATAAAAGTCCAAGCAGGAGAGATCCTTAGACAAGGGCAATAGGAGAGTAAGTGAGAAGAGTTTGCTATTGAACCTTCTATGATTCAGGAATGATAATTTGGTTGTCAGCCCATTCACTTAATTCTATAGGGCATATTCCAATTTCTTCTTGCTAAAGCAAATAGTATGGTTAAAGGGGACGAGGATTCTGCAAGAACTTTTTTTGTTCTTCCTATAGACATATGGTGTATACCACCTTATGTTGGAACAGGACCATCTGGAGTAGACCTGTTCTTACAGAGCTAATTCCCCAAATCTGTTTATCACCAACCATTGTGACTTCCTTTCTTTCGTCAATATGGAGTGTTAGATCAAGCCATTATCTTTCTCTCTCTCATGGCCATGTGGTAGACTTTAGGGTTCTTGTCTAACAAGATAAAATTTTGGGTGGGTGGGTGGGAGGGTATATTTGATTTGAGAGAAAGCAGATATTACATTTCAATTAAATAAATAACAGAGAGCCAGACCTTTCATTTGGGCAGCTTCTTTGATAAGAGTTCAACTTGTTCTGGCAAGCTGGAACCAACTTATAGGGACTCTAACAGGGCATTCAAAGTAAATGAGATATTTAAGAAGTGCTTCTACCAATTCCACTTCCCCAGTGAGCTTCCATAGCTGAATGGAGACTCTAATCCAGATCTTCTGAATCATAATCTGTCATTCTATCCACATCACTACACTGGTTGTCCTATGTAGCCCAAGCAAAGCAGAGGTATTTTCATGGAGTCTTGTAGTAGAGTCAGGAGAAGTTGAAAAAAGAAATATTAGTTTTATTTTTGGCAGTTGATTGCCCATATGTCATTTGACAAGACCAAGAACTTTTTTTGTTCTTCCTATAGACATATGGTGTATACCACCTTATGTTGGAACAGGACCATCTGGAGTAGACCTGTTCTTACAGAGCTAATTCCCCAAATCTGTTTATCACCAACCATTGTGACTTCCTTTCTTTCGTCAATATGGAGTGTTAGATCAAGCCATTATCTTTCTCTCTCTCATGGCCATGTGGTAGACTTTAGGGTTCTTGTCTAACAAGATAAAATCTTTAGGGTTCTGTTCAAACAAGAAAAATTTTTGGGTGGGTGGGTGGGAGGGTATATTTGATTTGAGAGAAAGCAGATATTACATTTCAATTAAATAAATAACAAAGAACCAGACCTTTCATTTGGGCAGCTTCTTTGATAAGAGTTCAACTTGTTCTGGCAAGGGCATTCAAAGTAAATGAGATATTTAAGAAGTGCTTCTACCAGTTCCACTTCCCCAGTGAGCTTCCATAGCTGAATGGAGACTCTAATCCAGATCTTCTGAATCATAATCTGTCATTCTATCCACATCACTACACTGGTTGTCCTATGTAGCCCAAGCAAAGCAGAGGTATTTTCATGGAGTCTTGTAGTAGAGTCAGGAGAAGTTGAAAAAAGAAATATTAGTTTTATTTTTGGCAGTTGATTGCCCATATGTCATTTGACAAGACTAACACAATGTGCATCTCGCCATGTCATTTTGGCTTTAAGCAGTTTTTCACACTGGCATAAACTTGATCAAGCGGTGTTTTAATCCACGAAAGCTTGATTATTGTACAATGATTTTTTAGTGGTCTGTAAAGGTATTGCCTATTTTTGCATTTGTATATTGTTTCGTTTTGACCACATGGCTGCCCTATGCTGTCTGATTTCACATGTCTAATCCACCTTGCTAGGTCGGTACCACTACCTCGTAGCTGAGATGTATTTAGCATCTGATGGAGCTTTATGAAGATATGTGTTTGTAGTGAACAGTAAAATTCTCAACAAATGATTCCTTTGGAAATGATGACTAGAGAGGAAGCTTTCTCTTCTTTTCCAGGAGAATTAAAACATAGGCAACACACATGGATAACTTTCCAATTATATAGCAATGGTAGCTGCACATGTAAAAGCTGCTATGTGTAGGCCTGGCTAAAATTCATCTGTGGTGGCTGTGCGTAAACTTTGATATATGCATGGACTGAAAGATTTCCTTCATACAAATACACTATTGGGCTGACAAGATCCATAGTATAATGGAAAAACCATTGCCTGTGGATGAAAATAGCCACCACAGTGGGTGATTTAGTGGTCTGTTTTGTGTTGATATTTTCTTAGAAGGTCTGCTATGAAATGTACTTCGTTCCTCAAATCATGATAAAAAGGGGAAGTGAAGATATTTCATTAAACAAAACAAAATAATTTCACTTTTATGAAGATTAAACTGTTGCTGTTGTTGCTGCTGCTGCTGCTGTTGTTGTTGTTGTGTGCCGTGTAATAGCCTCTGACTTACGGCAACCCTTTGACTGATTGACCTCCAAAATGTTTTGTCCTCAACTGCTCTTCTCAGCTCTTGTAGCCTCAAGTCTGTGAATTCCTTTAGGGAGCCTGTCCATCTCGTATTTGCTCTTCCTCTTTTCCTCCTGCCTTCTACCTTTCCCAGCATTATTGTCTTTTCTTGAGAATTATGCCTTCTCATGATGTGCTCAAAGCTGGACAAAAGCAGGTGGTGGTGGTTCAGTTTCCCAGATTTATGTAAAGTCTCTGCAGTGTTTTTTCCCTTTGTGAAGCTAAATACATACACCAGGAAAACAGGAAAGGACAAGCAGATTGTTCACAAGACACAAACAATCTATTGTAATGCTTCTGCTTGCAATAACAAGGCAATTATTAACAAAAAAATAACTGCAATAATAGTTATTTTACTTGCTGTTATTTAATAGGTTGTCCAAAGATCAGACCCACAAATATGCCAGTTCTCCCTGGAACCAAAAGAAACTTTGCTATTCATTATACATTTGTATGTGTTTATGCTTAGAAATTTATTATTTTTATTATTATTTCTTTATTTAGCCCTTTTTCATCTAGTATGCAAGGGCAAACTGGGTCACAGTTTGCATCTCTGGTTTCCCCATTCTTTGTTCTCAGTCTCAATTTATTCTTCCTATTTCTTTTACGTTTAATTTTTTTTTCAAGTTAATGTGTATTTTCCCACCTCTGACTCACAGACGGTGACACACAGTGTGAGGACTTGAGAAAGAATTTAAATGGTTTGCCTCCTCTAGTGCCCCACCAACAGGAACTTCGATTACCTCATCTTGGTGTTGGAATGGCAGTTACAGGCCTTTCCCACGGAGAATTGAATTAAAACTCAGGCACTGAACCTGAGCAATCACTTTTTCCCCCTTATGAAGAATGTATT